GATATTTCAACCCCAATCTCGGAAATCCAGAGGATTGAAACAACTGGAGTGTGTTCAAGGGCATCTCCCCTCTCCCTTCTGGACGCTGTTCTTGGGGTGCCTTGATGGACCCTTGCCATCTGAACCACGGAGCTTTGCAGGGGCAACCCCAGGAAGACCCCTAGAGCTCTCTGAAGAGAAACAATTCCTTTTCTTGGGCTGATGACAAATGACATTTCTCTGAAAGCAGGACTCAGGGTTTCTTTCACTTCCTGCCCAGAAGGTCAACGTCCCAGGAGGTTTCCCGCTTTGTGTTAGCCCTCTTTCATGAGTGGGGGATGGTGGTGGTGGTGGTGGTTGGGGGAGAGGAATGAGGTCTGAGCGACTCAAGTTTATTTTCTTATTTCCTCAATGATCCCTGCTCCTGAAGTGCGTTGTGTATTCCTTCCATGCATGTGCGTGGCAAGGGCACATGTCGTATAATACCAATACATCATTGGAAGAGAAATAAGAATGTTAGGCACAGGTCAAAAGCTGTTCTGTTAACAAATAAAAAAAGCACCTCCTTCAGAACCTGGTCCCCTCCTGGACTCAAACATTGTGGCTGCTCAGATCTTATTTGGTTCTCCAGCGCAAAGGTGCAGGCCTGCCTTCCCCTCTCTCCCTCTCCGTGGAGCTGGTTGCTACTTCTCAGTCTCGCTGGGGGGAGGGGAGCAGGTATTAACCCTTCCTAGATAAGGCAGGGTGTGCCAGCAGGCGGGGCTGGTGGAGGGGCAGCAGCGGGGAGGGGAGAGGGGAAGATGAGTCAGAGCGAAAGGAAAATGCAAATGGACAGGCTGTGTTCACCTGCTCCTCTGAACATGACATATTTTCCATTGCTGAGCTCTCTAGCTCCTTAGGACCACCACACCCAGGAGCACGTCAGACACCCATACAGCAGCTGCTTAGTCTGGAAGACACACAACGCATCCGCCCCTGCCACGTGTGGCTCTTCCTCCCAAAAAGATACAGCTGAGCCTTGAAGCTATAGAATAAGTGCAGGAAACCGTGAGAGTGAAGCTCCCACATCTAGGAAATGAGGTCTCAGAACAGAAGTAAGGATGGGGGTTGAGAAGATTCTCATCCCTCAGTGAGTGGAGAGCAGCCCCTCAGCTTCCAATCAGAGATCATGAGCCCAGGACTCGGGTCCTCTTAATCTGCTCCTGTGGGTTGCCACTGCTGACAAAGAGACTTAGAGAGAGACTGCTCAGAAAGCATCCTCTTCTCTGTAACCCACATGTAGCTGGCAGGGACCGTCAGTGTGCTTTAGGGAAACCTAGAAGGGGCCAGGGGACTTCCCCTTCGAGGAACTAAAGCCCCGCCCAAATGGGAAACCCCACCTTGCCTCCCACTTGGTGTCTTACCTAAGAATATATCCTTAGGGACAGCTCCTGTAGCGGTATCCCCAAGACTCTTTGCACCTCGGCCCTTAGGTGAGTCACACTCTAGGCCCTGGTCCACCCTACCACAGCACTCCTGCCAGAGCAGCCCAAAGCATGCCAGAGTGAGTGAGCAAAGCCGGGGAAACAGGACGACTTGGACGGACAGGGACACTGCTGACTGCTGGTATCCTGGGAACATCTCTCCTCTCTGGGCTCAGACAACTTGCCCATCGTTGACTTTCCCAGATGAACTCAATAGGCAGTCACCTTCAGCTGTCCCCCTGGGACGGAGCCAGAAACCCAGGCTAGGCAGACACTAGCTTGTATCCTGGGAAAGGGTAGGGGGAGTAGAAAGGATTCGGTAGGAAGATAGCGTGGGACAAAGTCTGCCTCGGAGTCACTGGGTGGGGCTGGTGGACTCTTTCTAATGCTCACACTACTGAATAGCATGAAAAATCTGACATTTTTAATTCTTGGAGGTAGGCTTGACCAAGCTTATCCAGACAAGGTGAGAGTTCAGTGCACCCCCGGAGCTCTCTAGAGATCATAAGACCTGTTAGGCCTTGAACTGTGGCCGCCCGAAAGCATGTGATGGAATCTTAACTTCTATACCCTGGAATTGAATCCATCTTGGAAATCGGGCTTTCTTTGTTAATGGAGCCCTTTGCCAGTGTCGGGTATGTCCTAAACCTAATCACTCTGGGGGACAAAAAACAGAATAGACAGAAACACAGACCCTGGGGAAGACACAGATCACAGCAAGATCACCCAGGAAACAGGGATGCCCAGAGGAGTACCAACAAGAAGAGCAAGCCCAGAAGAGAACCCGATGGGGGCTCTCAGCCACCACAAGTGTGAGAACATAGATTTTGGTTCATGAACACCACCACCCACTTGTGGTATTTCTGTTAAGCCAGCACCACAAAACTAAGACATGGCCCTGGGGGCTCAACCCAGGACCCTGGGAACCTGTGGGCATGGCAGGACAAGCCTAGTTCCCTTTCAAGCCTTGTCATTGAAGTCAAATGAAGAAGTAAACTAGAGACGTGATTAAAAAAAAAAAAAAGGTGTCTTCTATTTTCAGATACAAAAAACCCCACCCATTTTGAAGATAATTTAAGGAGAACATCTATTATGTCTTAAAAGAGACAGCCCAGAGACAGTGACACATCATCTGGATGGGGGACCACCATCGCGGTGGAAATGTCCTCTGAGGGGTCACAACTGAGACTCGAGATCAGTAGGTTAGGGGGGAGGGGCATGAGGAAAATGTCACAAAAGCATGATTGGTGACAGATCAATACATCACAGTAACAGGTGGGAGCCTGCCTGGGACACCAGTATTGTCAGAAAGGTTTACCAGATCGGTTCCAGGCCTGGCCCAGCCTCCAGTACCATCTCCATCCAGCACTGTAGCCTCAATCGAAGACCCACCTAGGCAAGGCCCAAAGAGAGACTGCCCCTCCCCGAGCTGGCCAGAAAAGGGTGGAGGCAATTCAGGGTGCAAGGCTTTCTGCCCGAGGGCAAGGTTAACTATCCCTTGGTTAAAGATCAGAAAGCATTCATGGCGGCTTCATCTCTTCAAATGGAATTGGGGCTGCCTCTGGCATCCCTAACCTTCTGGAAACCACGGTGCTCAGAACTTAAACTCTACTACACTATCCCTTGATCTCGCTTAAACACCGTGCCCCCTCCTTCATGCTAATCAAAACAAGATTGAGAAAAATTGTATAACTCGCCACTTTCCTCACCCCCAAACCTAATCTCTTTTAAGGTGAACTGCGGTGGCATTTTCTATAGATTATGTATCGCATACATAGATTAAGGCAGGGGTCCTCAAACTACAGCC